CTTTTTGCATAAGTTGTATAAATTGATTCTCTTGTGGAAACAGTACAGGGATAGGTACAGCAGTAACAGTCACTTATAAGAAATCAAAGAAGTTTAAGGATCATGATAAGGGCCCGTAGGAGGCAGTCTCCTTCGTAGATATAGTTTGAGGTCCTCTCATTTTTCAGCAGTCCATTCAGATGAAGGAGGCACCACTGGTCCTTTTACTCTGGTGTGATGGGTCCAACCCTGCTCCTGGGTACGAACTGCAGTATCAGACATTAAAAGTATCTGAAAGGGCCCATCCCAATTCGGGGTTAATTTTTCATCTTTCCAAGATTGAACATATACCCAATCACCTACTTGTAGTTTATCAACAGGAAACCCTAGAGGGGGAGTTTGAGCAATTAGTCCCTTTAAAATTCAAAGAGTCTTTTCCTATACAGCTGTCTGGCAGGGGATATCGTCAATGAAGTCCTCTGGTCCTTAGTGTTTGTTCCAGCCATCTCCAGCACAGCATCTCAGCATCTTGTCTTCTTGTAGGAACCAGCTTTCTGTCCATTCTCCTGCAAAAGTCACCTTAGCACAATTTTAAATTACCATTTCTAATCCTTATAATCCTGATCATTTTACAAACTCAAAATTGGAACCATGGTCAATTGTCATGTTTAAGAAATTCACCTCAGAACCCAGTGTCTTATACTTTACATTAATCCATTATTAATTTCCTCACCAGGAGGATGAGATTTCACTAAGGGGTTAATAACAGGCTCTAGTACATGCATAAATATATTAAATAATCAATTTTAACACAGTATATATATATAATATATATATAAAATCTTAAATGTATTAAATAATCAATTTTAACACAGTACATATATATATAAATCTTAAATATATTAAATAATCAATTTTAACACAGTATATATATAATCTTAAACTTTTAGTCATGCCATGTTTCTTTGATGGCATTTACAAAATAAACCTAATTGTCTCCATACCATTACCAAGAATTAAAGGACCCTAACTCATATAGGAACACACAGGAAAACTAGTCCCAGTTCTATAGTAATCTAAGATGTTCCATAATCAATTACTTTCACAACTTTGTTACTGTACTTACAAAATCTTCTGATTATAGAAACTTACTACAGAAGGAAAAAGAACAGGGACATGTGACGTATCGAATATAACAAGATAAAATATCCTTAACTTTGTTTAAATTCAGATCGAGTCGCAGTTCTCCAATCACGCAGTATCTGTTTCTCCTCATCACCAGACTCAGGAATAGTCAGGTGGGAAACATTCCTTTCCAAAGGAACACAATGGGAAAACTGAGCCAGCAGGATCCCATCCTAGATTGAGGCTAAGATTGTCCCCTTGGCTTTTTCCCAAATGAGTCACATTTACCTCCACCTGTTACCAGTACAGAATCACATTCACTGGCATCTCTCTCTGAGATACTGATTTTAATGCAGACAACTATATCCAAATTCAAACACAAAACAAAATTAGTTATAGTCCCAAGAGCCTTTTACTTCAAACAGCAAGTCTCACTAATCACAGCTTAAAGCCAGATACAGTTAATTTTGCTCTCATAGAGTTGCAATAAGCAATAAAAATTTACCAGGACTCACATACATAGGAGATTTCACTTAAGTCTTTCCTTTTCAAATTTAAACTTGTCCTGGTGTAAAAGCCAATCATTAAAAAATAATTTCTATACACTTGCAAATTCTCAGCAAGCTAAGTTCATTGTCTAGGAACTGCATAATCCTAACAAGTTCTTTTCTCATGGTTTCCAGACACCTTGGCAAGTTTACAAAATAATGAGAATTGTGGGGGCCTTCAGAGAGGGCTGATACTGGTGCCCTTGAATGGGCAGAACCAACCCAATAAGGCTCTACACTATCTCCTTCTTTCCACATACAGTAATTAATTAACCCTTTTAGGTTTTAGCATGAAAATAGTAACCCCAAATAGTTAACAATCTCACAAATTTCATAAATGATAGCAAAACAATTTTAACTAAAAATTCCCTTTAAAATAAAAACAAAATTTGGAAATTTTATACTTTCTTAAATTACAATATTTAAAAGGAAATGTTACAAAACAAGATCATATAGAATGCCCCAATAGCCAAATACATTCCTTTTTCTCTTTTCTCTGATTCCACAATTAATTTAACATACTACTACACAGCTTTCTTTTTGAATTTCTGAAGGGAGATATTGAATAGGGCTCCCCCTCCCTCTCTCTCTTACCAAATGGCTTTTACAACTTTAGTATGCATTCTAAACAATTCACTTGTCTCACACAATTTTCCACTATATTTTTTTTAGATTCTTTCAATTTACTTTAATAACATTCAAATTATGAAAAGCCACTTGACATAACAATACCAAAGTTTAACAGTTTGCAGATTCTTACATTTTCCCAATTTATCTTAATACCAAACAATGTAATAAATTATGAACATCACATTTCATTCAGCACAGCCTCTGGCTGCCCATAAATTACCTTGTGTTCCTGTTCTGGTACACAAAAACTTTTCTCTTTTATATAAGGCAGGGAATGGTTAAAGACTTATTTTAGCCTGCCTCCCTTTGATCTGAGCACTTTCCTTTCCTCCTTATCTCTCTCTCTTCCATCCACCTTAGGAAAAGAATATTTTCCAACAACTCTTCAAGAGTTTCCAAACCTTTTTACTTTCCAAATCTCTATTCCCACTGTGCAAATAAATTATACCTTCCTTAAGCTTCCTACACATACTCCTCTCTCCTACATGTTTAAACCTTCTTGTCTTCCTTCTACCTAATTATCCCTCTGATGGACTTTGATTAAAGTCCCTTTAAAACTGCACATACCTTATTTCTTTCTAATTCTGACCTGACACTTTGAGGATCCTCCTCAACTTGCTTTTTACCAATCACATAACCTAAATAATACAGTATTATTATTATTATTATTATTCTTGGGAAGCCGAAAGTGAAGGCCCCTGAGGGGGTATTGCATTGGGGAGTGGAAGAGCTGACAATGGACCCCACCCCTCCTGAGACACTACATCCCCTCCCCTTATTATCCTCTTTCTTCTTAGACTTATTTTCACACAAAAATATCCTGCTCCCTGGAAGCCATAAACCAGCATATGTCATTTCCTCGGGGTCCACAGGATCCTTTTCATTCACAAATAAATTTAATTTCTGGCACACCCAGTCTTTGACCGAACCATAATAGGGCCAAATCGTGCCACCTCCAATATCCTTATTACCCCAAACAAAACAACAGTATCTAATCATTTTTCTTTTTTTATCTTTCCCTTTATATTTTGGCAACTCATTCCAATTATTTAACTTATTTCCCAAGGCACTATTTGACGGTATACTTTTAATTTCAATCGCTGCGGAGGGCAGCTTGGACTGAGCCTGCCCATTTCAATATTGATGGAACCCCTGGTTCCTACGTCCAATCACAGGGGAGTCGCCTCCACCTCTCAGTCACCCAAGAGCCTTCCTATCCTGGGCACCCCTTCCAGGGTGCTTACCTTGGGCCATGTGCACACAAGTTACCTGACTGCTCTGTCCACACCGATGGTCGGGATTTGCCACGGAGTCCTCTCCTTTTATTTTCACTATACACCTAGTCTCTCTGCTTCCGGTCACTTCACCTGGTGGAAGGGTAAGAAATCCCAAGCTGCATGGGCTGCCTAAAATAGAGGCAGGGCGCCCCGCCCCAAGAGGCCCAGGACTCTGTCCTTCCACCTGGTCATGTTTTCCCGGCCAACGCACCAAATATTGTGTGCTACAGTTACCCAGAAATAACACTCAGAGATTTTCTTGGTATAAAGTGAAAGATTTATTACGTTCTCTCGAGAACCGGGCATCTGCTTCCTCCAGCAGTCCCAGCCAAGGGAGGCCAGGCACAAAGGTCAGAACAAAGGTTATATAGTCCTATGGCATAGACACCCACCCACCACTGGCTGTAAATTCCCATTGGACAGGAATTTCAGCCTTACAATCTAAAACGCGAAAATCTACCCCACAAACAAGGAATCTCATTACAATACTACCAATCCTAGCTATTTTATCCTTATTTAGCATTACCCATTACCTAATACTAATGTAACAGTACAGATCATGTGTTTTTCTAGGAACTTGAAACTTGGGCCTATTCAGGCTAGCGTAACCAACCCTGAGTTTGTAACAGTCTACAAAACTGTTACACTCAGTTCATCCGAGAGATCTCACACTGTTTACATTGTCTCAATCCCAATTGCCTTGCCAAAATAAAAAATAAAAAAAAGTTGAATGTGATGCTTCGGGAAGTTCTGAGATGCCCATCATTGAAGGGTTTTCGATCAAGGCTGACTTGTATATATTCAAAATTAAATTCAAGTCATTGAAATGCCAAGTATACGGTTGCAGGATTCTCGTAGTATCAATTGGACTCTTAGAACCTCTAGTTTCCTTCAAAACTCAGCTCAAGCCTCACCTTCCACATGAAGCCTTTCATGATCTCTCTGCTGGTAGTGCCTTTCCTTCAAGTTATCTTGTATTTATTGTGTATGTATATATACACGTTCCACCCTCCCTCTCTCCTCTTCCTCCTGCTCCTCAAGTGTGTTCCAAGTAGGGGGAGCAACAATAGCTTGGACAAAGGCACGGAGGCTGGAGATGGAATGCCAAATTCCGGGAACAGCCTAGTCCAGTTTTGTTGGACTATAGAGAGCGTGAAGTGGAGTAGTGGAAAAAGGGGCCCCCAGAGAGGTAGGCCAGAGCCAGATTGTGAACTGAACAGCTCCATCCACCACGAAGATTAAAGCGATTCTGTAAAGGTTCCGTTCTCTGGGGCTGAACATACCCTTCCCTCCTCGGCTTCCGTTGGGTCCCCAAGAGCCCAGAGAGATTCGCCCTTAGGAGTGGCTGGGGCAGGGGCGGGGCAAGCCGTATCTCCTCCCCCTCTCCATTATGCCCCACCCCCCGGCCAATCCAAACCCGGCATGGCGACGCCGACGTCGTCCCGGTCTCGTGTTCCGAGGGAGCAGTGGCGGCCGCGGCGGTTTGAAGGGCTCTGAGCTGCAGCGGGCACGGCCAGCTCTGGTAAGTTCGTTACGCGGTCACTGAGTGTCCAGGCCTCGGACCCCGACCCTTTCCCGGTCTCAAGTTGGCCTCCTTTGGGGCTGGTGCATGGGGCCGGGAGAAAGAAACAGGGCATGGCGGGCTAGCCGGGGAGAGAGGGCCCCGGGCCCAGCCGCTGCCTACCCGCCTCCGACTGCTACGGGGTCACGGTCCAACGACGTCGGCGCGGCCACCGGACGAGGCGGGACCGCGCCGCCCACGGGGATGGGAGACGAGGCCTCTTGACAGCCCGGCTGCCGGTTTGCCTAGGAAGAGGCCGCGGGCCGTTGAACTCTACCCTCCGCGGGGGCCGTCCTGCCAAGGGTCAGGGGCGGGCGGCCGGAACTGCCAGAGTTGGAGGCTTCCCTTGTCTTCCTACATAATGTATAGAGCAAGGATTCCTTATTCTGGGGTCCTAAGAGGCGTCCATGGAAAGATTTCAAGGACTCTTTGAGCTTTTAGTGGAAAATATATTTATATATATACCAGTGTCTAATTGAAATGTAGTTTTTCCTTCTACGAACGAAAACTACAAAACTACGGTAGTATCAAGACTACGTCAGAATGTCAAAGGGATGCATGACATAAAAATATTAACCCCCTTGTCACAGTGGAAGACCCATATTACAAGTGTCTTTTAGTTTTGCTTTTTATGAATTCTTGTAAGAAACACATGTAAGCAAGCAATCTGCTCAGGCTGGCTTTTTTTTTTTATTTGTTGGTGTGGAAGCTGAGGATCTATTGGTTGTCTGTTTGGGAAAATCTAATTAAGAAAGTTAGAAGTAAAGAGTAAGTGAAAAATTCAGGTATCGAAATTATAGGTAAAAACTAACTGGATGCATGTATTCAGAACTTTAATAAAAACTTGTTAAGTGTTTAGCCTAAAGGGCAAACTGGGAGGAAAAAAAAAGCTATGTGGGAATCATAAGCCTTTTCTTAATAAATAAGTTGTGACTGGCTGAAATTTTTATTCACATTGCTTAACTGGAAGATTACAGTGGAGCAATAATTCTACATGATCTATTTAAATTTCAGCAGCACACTTGTTCTTGGATGTTTGGATCCCCTTGCAGATAAAGTGTAGTAATCTCCTCTAATTCTTGTCAGCCTTTTAATTTTGCTGTTCTTCATGGATCTGTCCTCATCTCTCTTCTCTTTTCTCTCTGCTCTTTCTCTGTTGTAATCATAATCCATCTTTTTCAACTCTTACCTCTACACAAATGACTTTGAAAATCTCTATCCCTGTCCATGCATGTCTTCTGAGCGTCAGACCTATATATTATGTTAACCTGCAAGGCATTATCACCTGAATGTCTCATGGGTTCTCCAAATGCAACAGATTTAAAACAGAATTATTAACTTTTCCACAAAATTTCTGACTAAACTTTTGTTTGTACCACTACTCATCTGGTAATTCAGTTTTGGAAGCTTTCCTTAATTTCATCTTTGAGTTTTCCCTTTCTCCACATTCATTCATTCATTTGGTTGTCAAGTTAAGTCCTTTCAGTTCTACCACTGACCTATCCTGGAATCTGTAGCCTGTTCCCACTGGTAGCATTGTAATATATCTTATTAACAATTGCCTTTTGCCATTTCATTCTAACAAGTCTTTCTACCCTGCCCCCCCAAAACAAATAAAAACCCTCTTTCACACCACTGCCAGATTAATCTTCCTTATGCATAGAACTGGTCATAAGGCTCTCTTTAGTGGCTCCTTTCTACTCAACTATTTCAAAGGGACATAATTTGGAGCTAGAAGGGATTTTAGATCCTATCTAGACCAATCCCTTCAATTTTACTGAGACCCTAACTGGTAAAGTCACTTACAGAGGTAGTAAATGCAAAGCTAGGTTTCAAGCTCAGGTTGTCTGTCTCTACATGCAACAATCTTCCCTATGTACCACACTGCTTCTTTTAAGTCCTGATGCTTAAGCTTAGGATTCTGGCCCATCTATATTCTGGTGCTTTACTGAATGTCTTGTCTTATTAGTGTTACCTTAAGCTACTCTCTTCCAAGGACTATCCCTCATGACTGAAATGTGCTCTTGCCTCTTAGAATCTTTATCTTTTTTTCAAGTTTCAGCTCAGGTCTATCTTCTCTGAGAAATTATTCTTGAACTTCCTAGTTGTTAGTGTTACATTGTATTTATTAACTGCAAATACTGGATCCTTCTAGGAGAATATGAACTCTTTGCAGGATGTTTCTCACTTATGCTTGTTGAACTAGGTTGTTCACTATACAGACAGTTTTCACTTTAGGTAAGTGGACCTTTCTGAAGAGCTCTTTATAAAGATATTTGTATTTAATGCCGGTTTGCACAGACACAGGAAATAAAGGGAGGCAAGAAGGCAGTTGCCCCCTGGAGGGAAGGGGCCAGCACAAGGTTCATTGACATATCCAGCAGGGACAGAGAAGGAAGAGCAGCCGGAAGAAGAATAGAGAGGGTGAGGGTGACAGCCATATGGGGGCCTGCCTGAACAGGGAGGAAGAAGGGAGTGGGAGGGAGACATGTAGGGGTTGGACCTGGACACAGAAGAGGAGAGGACAGATGTGGTACCCTAGTATGTGCAGACAAGATAGACAGGTGGGTGGAGTAGGGCAGAGGTCTCTCTCATCATTGGGGGTAGTGGTGGTCTCTCAGCCTCTGGTCTTCTGCTTTGACTTGGAGGATTTGGGGGTATTTTTTTAAAAGTTTTTTATAGTTAAAAAATATTAATCCATTTAAAATAACAATAATAAACCCATTATATGTTAACAAAACATTTTTGTGAAAAATAACTTTTCCCCCAAAAAATGAGAGTAGTAGCATTATTTGCATATTTTTGCCAATCTGGGTAGTATCTGGCTTAATAGAATATAGCTAGATTTTCATAGCTAATGTATCTCTTCTATGTTTAATCTGTTGTGATTTGTTTTACTTAAAATATATGAAAAAAAATCTAGCCTCACACATATGTACTTGGAAAAGAGAGGAGTATGTTAATAAGCAAATAACATCTTAGTATTATTGCAAAAATAGTTTTAGACTCACAGACCTATTGAAAGGTCTTGGGAAACCCCAAGGGTTCTCAGACCCCACTTCAAGGACCATTGCTGTGTTCACCCTTGATTTCTCAGTCTCTTCTAGGTCTCTTCTCTGCCTTCAAATATGTATGCCCCTCTGTGATAATACAATGAGGATCATAAGGATCAACATCTTTACTACATTAAAAAAATAATAATAGTAAGCTTTAAGGGTTTTTTTTTGGGGGGGAAGCCTTGGCCAACCAAGCCAAGCAGCAGGATCAGAGAAGAAGAGGAAGGGAGGGAGACAGAGACACATAGAGAAAGAGAGAACAAAGTTATCTTAGGGGTTTTTTTTAGGCAGTTGGGGTTAAGTGACTTGCCCAGCATCACACAGCTAGTGAGTGTTGAGTGGTTTGGTCTGAGGCCAGATTTGGACTCAGGTCCTCCTGACTTCAGGGCTGGTGCTCTATCCTCTTCGCCACCTAGCTGCCCATATTAGGTGTTTTTCTGGAATGCAGATTTCAGATTCTTTTCCTAAAATTGGATTTGTATAATGCGAATTTATGTAAAGTGGTAATTGTCTATGTGTGCTATACTCTTACCAGCCAGACAACCTTGTTCTTTCACTGTGCTGTTCTGCCTATGTACCTTTTCTCATACTTTTCCTGAACGCAGCTCTTCTATACCTTATCTTCATCTCTGACATTCCCTGGGTCAATAATAATTCCTCTTTTCTTGGTCCTTTCATAACATTTGTTCAGTACCTTACTGGTATGTTTTTGTGTCATTTCACATAATGATCATGCTGTCACCCATAAATGTGCCACCTTCATGTTCAGGAATTCCCAAATCCACTTATCTGACCACAGTCTGTTGGCTTTTCATCTCTCCCTCTGCCTTCCCTTACAAGACCCTGCTTTTTTTGTTCACACTGTGACCTTCTATCTCTGGAGCCTTCAGTCCTTTCCCAGGCCATTACCCCTGTGCTAGCCTGTCTCTTCTTTTCCCCATCTTGACCCCTTAGTGAACCAATTAAACACTACACCCTTCTCTAGAGTCCTTGGCTACTTAATCACATTGTCACTTGTTCTCTGCCAAGCCTTATCCTTGGATTGTTCTCATCCTCTTCTCCTACACACATGCTGTTGGATGAAGGTGGAGAAAATCACACAACTGTTCTGAGATCATTACAAATTTATGTTATGAAACCTCAAGGTGGGCCCTCTCTGCTTATCAACTAACTCTATACTTTGACCCTTCTAAACCTTTTCATTCCTCCTTAAACCTTGCATGTCTCCTCCTTCCCCCACTCTCTTAGGTGAGAACCTTGACTCATATTATACAGAAAAGACTAAGACCATTCTTCCTGAGTTCCCCTTTTTCTTCCTAATGTATCATTCATATGCTTTCTGCCACTATCTTCTTCACCCTTGTGTCATATGACGAGGTGGTCTTACTCTTACTGAGGCTCTGCCTGCACAGGAGATCTCATTCCATCCTAATGCCTCTAACAGATTGCTGTCTCTATCATCCCCAGTCTGTCACTTATTTTCAATATCTCCCTGTCTCTTGGCTGCTAACCTACTGCCTACAAACATATTTATGTCTTCTATTCTGGAAAAAACCCTCACCTGATTCTTCCATCCCCAATAACTATCATCCTACATCTCCTCTTTCCTTTTTAGCTAAACTCCTTGAAAAGGTTATCCACAATTGGTGCCTCCACTTTGTCTTCTCTTACTCTCCTTTTAACCCCTTAAAATCCATTTTCCAACCTTATCATTTCACTGAAGCTGTTCTCTCCATCATTACCAGTGATCTCTCCCTCTTTTGGGGGGGCATTTGGTGTTAAGTGACTTGCTCAAGATCACATACAACTAGTAAATATCTGAGACTGGATTTGAACTTAGGTCCTCCTGACTCCAGGGCCAGTGCTCTATCTACTGCTTCATCCAGATGCCAATCCAGTGATTTC